GCTGCCGCTTCGGCGGCAGGGACATCGTCTCCAGGTGGCGGGGAGGGCTGGTTTGCAAGCAAGAGGGCGAGGGTAAAATAGAGCCGCCTCTGCCACCCTCATTTTTAAAAGAATGTCCTTAAAACACCCGGCCTGCGCTGCGCACACGCCCTATGGTTGTGCCATCTCAGCACCTTTACTCTGCGAATATCTAACCCTCTTCCTGAGACATTTCCAGTGGTTTGCTTCTATTGGCAACTCTAATCTTAAAAATTAAATTGGAAGTTAATAAGAACAAAAAAAAAAAAATCCGAGCTGTGCATCAGCAGCATGGGTGGCGGAGGACCAGTTTCACGGACTTTCTTGCTGGAAGGGCTGACCTTTCCGTCCGTCTCGCCAGCGCAGCACCCAGTGCGCGGGCGACCGGCTCAGGCAGTTTTACAAGCTGGCTGACCTCGGTTTCTCTGATTACTGTAATACCATCCCCAGCCCAGAGCCTGGCCTACAGCCTTTGAACTGGGTCCTTCCTAGGGCCGGAGAAGGATGGGTTACGCTGCCAGCGCCAGGCAGGCAGCGGGGAGGGACAGCAGCTCAGCCAGAGAGAAAATTTGCAGGTAGGGACTGAAAAGAAAGAACCGAATGGGACAAGGGGAAGCTTTATGGTCCAGCTGAGTCCCTGATCTTACTTCCACCGTGTAGGCCAGCTCTCCTGTCACCTCCCCCCCAGGGCCAGCTCTGAGCTTGCCCGTTCTTCTGCTGACAGGGGAGATTTTGTGCTATTGAGAGAAAGAAACTCAGCCCTGAGCCCAGCACAAGAGTTGAGATCCTGAACGCGGTGCTGGAGCAAGTCCTTGTGTTCAGCCGTGCCCAAACAGCCAAGGAGCTGCAGCGGGATTTTCTCCTGGACAATCTAGGACAATCCGTTTCTCCTGGACAAAATCCAGGACACTGGACTTTCTCCAGCGCTGGAGCCTTCCTGAGCACCTACCCCCTTGCAGCCTTACTTAAACACCGACCTATTTTGAACCACTCCAGGAAGCCACCGGTCCCTGCAAGGAAAGCCCTGGCCCTGCAGGGTGATGGTTCCTCAGTGGTGTTTAACAGCCGGACAGACTTCCCTGAGCAGTCCTGGCAATTTGCAGACAGCTTTAGCGACAGGGGTGAGCTCTTTCGGCGGAGTGGCATGAAAGGCACAAATCCCAGTAAAAGCTAAAGGGGGAAATGTGTTCACAACTACTTCCTCTCCTTCCTCGAAGTCCGTCATGTTTCTAAACTAATTAATTAATGCATTATCCATAATTTGTTGTTGATTATGGCAGGTCAAGTTGGGAGCTTCCAGATCTACTGGATGGTAAAATCCAGGCCATCAGCGACTCAGACGGAGTGAACTATCCCTGGTACGGAAACACGACAGAAACCTGCACCATCGTGGGTCCCACAAAGAAGGAGTCCAAGTTCAACATCAGCATGAACGACAACTTTTACCCAAGCGTCACGTGGGCAGTGCCCGTCAGCGAGAGCAACGTGGCCAAGCTCACAAGCATTCACCGGGATCAAAGCTTCACCACCTGGCTGGTTGCAACCAACACGGCTACCAACGAAATGGTGACCTTGCAGACTATCAAATGGCGCATGAGGCTGGGCATCGAGGTAAACCCCAGCAGACCCTTGGGGCAGCGTGCCAAGCTGCAGGAGCCCTCTGCTCAAGAGCAGCCCCAGGTCCTTAGCAAGAATGAGCCAATACCACCCAGTGCCCTTGTCAAACCCAATGCCAATGATGCTCAGGTACTCATGTGGAGGCCAAAGGATGGACCACCGCTTGTGGTGATACCTCCAAAACACCGGTAATAGAAACCTGGCGTCCTGGTACCAAAAGGGAGAAAAAAACAAAACAAAAAACAAACCAACAAAGCAAAACAATCACTTAGGTATTAGAATACACGCGTATAATCTGAGCAAGATCAAAATGCACTTTTTATTCATTCAACAAATGCAACCATTCTACCTTCTCCCATCGGGACGGATTTCACTGTGCTAAAGCTAAAGAGGAGACCTTTGACTGGGGTCTGTCTCATCACTGGATTCCTAAGGGAAAAAACACTGATGTCTATCCCTATAGCTTTTTTTTTTTTCCCCTTCCCTACTTCAGTTACTGTTTGAACTTCAGTCTCATTAGCTTGTCCAGACTGCCCAGAACAGTAAGAACATTTTATTTGGGATTTTAAGGGTCTTTTTTTTTTTTTTTTTTGGTTGAGAACAAAACAAGTTCCTGGAGCAAAAAGTTGACTATTTAAGATAAGGAATTTTTTTTTTAAGCTGTAAGGTTCTGAGTTGCAAATCCAAGTCATGCGGCCTTATGTAGACTTTGCTTTGCATTGCCAAACTTTTGCCTTAAAGCTATGTTTGAAAACAAAAAAACAAACAACAAACACACCACCAGGCAGGATGTCCTTTCTACAGAATTTTTGGAAGAAAGTTTTGGAACAAGGTTTAGATTGTCAGTGTGTCATGGACTGGTGGATGAAAAGGGCATGAAATTGGAATAAGCGTGATAAAATCTTCCTGGTTTTAAAACCTGGAACAAGGAAGCACGGAAATAATCTCAGTTTCAAAGCAATGCAAATAACAAACCTGCTGTAGGGTGTCTCTTGAGTGGGAGCTACTAGGCCATCTCCCTGCTTCGCAGAAGAGGTAGCAAGCAAGCTTGCACGGCTCACACTTGGTGATCCCAGTCTCCCGTTAGCATTATAACATGGGATCTTCTCACAGCTGGAATTGTGGCCCTGGGAGTCAGCATCAGTCCAGAGGGGAGGATGTCCCACTGGGTTTGTCTTCAGGACACGCAGTTGTCTGCCCAGCTAACCCACAGCCTCACCTTCTCATGGCGTAAGAGCCAGTGGCTCGTGCACCGTTTTCTCGAAGATCCGTTGCCCTGTTTTCTCATGAAATCCAAATGACGTTGCTGTAAGAAGAGCAGGATATAAAAAGGATCCTTCTGAAGTCATTGGAGATGCATGGGTGTAAGCGAGGGCAGATCTTATCTACCAAGTCTACCCAGCAATATCCATAATTCAGGAACAGCCACGTCTGAAAATAACAGGCACCCATTCCTAGCAAACACTAGAAGCAAAAGCTATGAAAAACTCTTCTTCCCACGATAACAAATCACATTGGGGTTAGTAGATAATATTCTTCCAAATGACCTCACGATCTACATCACTTTCAGGAATGGGATACGGACAGGACCATGAGTGACTCTGTACCTGTCTGGTTACGGCACCAACATCTATGTAGCAAAGGGTAATGCATGAGAAGGTGCAGGCAGGGCAACACCTGAGTCTTGGGTGTAGATCCTCCAGCGAGGAAGGCGCATTTGGAGCAGGAGGTGGAACCTGTAGCTTTTAATAAAGACCTTATCCAGATGGCTTCAGAGATACCCAGATGCATTTCTGCAGAGGAAGGCAGTATGGAAAAGCCGTCTGAACAGCAGGGGCACAGCTTGCAGGCAGAGGAAGGTCTGCAGTAGAGGTGGCACCTGGAGGACAGAGCGTAGGACGGGGAGCAGAGGATCTGCTCTCCTGCTGCAGCGCGTGGCCTGAGGCAGCTCCTTCCTCTCCCTAGGTAATGTTTCTTCCTCGTACTAACCAGCGCTAGGACTGGAGAGCCCCACGCGCCA